CATAAATTAATCATGTGGTCGCTCAGTGAATCTGGCAACATGGCTGGTTGCCAAGCTGACCTAGAAAAGAGGTCTCTCGAGGTCTGGGATGGACACCACCAGGCGAGCCAAGGGCTTTAGAATAAATTGGGAAATTTAAATTGGAAGAGAATCTCGCCTCAAAGCTGAATTAGGAAGTCAAGCTTGATCAGAGGGTGGTTTGATGTAGCTCAGGTGGGGGTGGGGGTGGAGACCTGTTTGGAATTGGAGGCTATCAGGAGAGCCAAGATTAAAATGGAAAAAAATATATATTCTGGGCTTGAAGGAAGCTTAATCCTTCATTAGAAGCCAAGTGTGACTGGAGGGAGGTTTGACATAGCCCGGTGTAGCATTAACAAGGAAAAACAATGGCCTGTTTGGGATGGGAGGCCACCAGGAGATCTAAGGGATTTAAGATAAAATGGGGGAAAGAAAAACAAAACAAAACTCCAGCCACAGCAGAGTTGCCTCCCTGCAAAAAATCCCTGCAAGATCCAGAAACTGCTCAGTTTCTTTTCACAACAACTTCCTCAACTTACGACCAAGAGTCGAGACCCAAATTTCTGTCACTAATCATGACAATTTGATGAGCTTTCTGGACACTGGTTAAGAGGACGGCTGCACTTGTTCAGTTAGTGGGGCTGTTGTTAAGCGGGTTGTCCTCCTGGCTGGTGAGAAGATTGCAAAAGGAGATCAGGGATGCTAGGACCGTCATAAAGATGAGTCAGCTGCCAAAAGTTGATCATGTGACCAGAGGGCTAATGCGACAGTCATGCAAAAAGCAGCCCCTCCCCCCCCGTTTTCAATAACTTGGAACTGTGAGAGATTAAAACCCAATTCTTATGCTCACAATGTGAAAGACGCACCTGGTTCACAATTCAAAAGTTTATTGCAAAGAAATGAAATAGTGGTGTCATGCGCAGCCTTCCCAGACTCCCAGAGCCGAGGTGGCGCAGTGGTTAAGGTGCAGCACTGCAGGCCACTTCAGCTGACTGNGATTTTTGTGTGCATCGCCTTGAAAAATAATGTGTTGGAGACGTGCATGCTTAAAATTAATAAACAAACCACTTGAAAAATTAAATATTGGCGGGACAATTCCTACAATTCTCCAGCTGGGTTTATTAAACCTTAAAAAAACTTTTAAAATATTATTTATTAGAGATGGAAGCAAGATGATAGGTAGGTAGGTAGGTAGGTAGGTAGGTAGGTAGGTAGGTAGGTAGGTAGGTAGGTAGGTAGGTAGATACAGATAGATATAGATAGATAGATAGATAGACCGACAGACAGACACACACACACACACATACATACATACATACAAAGATAGACTAGATAGATAGATAGATGATAGATAGATAGATACAAAGATAGACTAGATAGATAGATAGATACAAAGATAGTAGATAGATAGATAGATGATAGATAGATAAATGATAGATAGATACAAAGATAGACTAGATAGATAGATAGATAGATAGATGATAGATAGATAGATAGATAGATAGATAGATATTGTGAGATAGACGAATGGACGGACCAACAGCAGATAGCTATGATTGAGAGAGAGAGTGATGGATGGATGGATAGGTAGGTAGATAGATATAAGATAGATAGATAGATAGATACAGACTAGATAGATACAAAAATAGATGATAGATAGAAAGATAGATAGATAAAGATAAACATAAAAAGTATCTGCAGTGGCAGATATAAATACCAGCTATTTTTATTGGCAGTCCTTGATTTGGGAGCAGAATTGAGCCCCCCCCAGCAAATGTTTGTGAGACAGTTGTGAAGTGAGTTTTGCCTCATTTTACGACCTTTCTCGCCACCATTCTTAAGTGAATCCCCACCGTTGTTCAGTTAGTGAGCTGGTGAATCCCGCTTCCTGCTTGTCAGAAGGTCGCAAAAGAGGATAATGTGACCTCAGGACGAAGCCACTGGTCGTAAAGAGAAGTCAGTTGCCCGGCTGGGGAATTTTGACCAGGTGGTTTAAGTGTGAAAAACGGCACCCGGTCCCTTCTTTTCCAGGTGGTTGTAACTTTGAACGGTCGCTAAATGAACGGCTGCCTATGTGTGGTTTTATAAAACATCCAAAATGTATACTCGTTAATTCGAGAGACAACGTCTGATGTGGAAAGAAAGGTGGTTTATTGAATTGGGTT